AAAGATTAATTTCTCCATTCATATTTTAATTCTCTTTCTCAGAAAAAAATAAAATTGTGGAATTTTTGAAATACTTTTTCTTGCTTAATTAAATGTTGTTTCCTGTCAACAGGAAGAGAATAATTTGCAAGCTGTAAATGATTTTTAGATTTTTGCAATTATTATTTCTAAAAACAGGTAGTAGTCTAAGTTAAGTGTCATCTGTGTTTATTTATATGCAAATGGTCTTTAAGAAAGGCATTTTAGAATAAATGTGGTGGTTCACGACTGTAATGCCAGCTACTCTGGAGCAGGAGTTCAGGAGGATCTCCATTAAAGATCAGTTCAGAGTTGGGTGCTACTGGCTCACATCTGTAATTCTAACCAATGAGGAGGCTGAGATCTGAGGATCGCAATTCAAAGCCAGCCCAGACAGGAAAGTCCATGAGACTCTTATCTCCAATTAACTACCAGAAAACTGGAGGTGGTGCTGTGGCTCAAAGTGGTAAAGCACTTGAACTAATCTTACATTAATCTATAAAGTGAAGTGAAAAGCACTTGAATGAAAAAGCTCAGGAATAGTACCCAGGACTGGAAAAAAAGCAAAATCAGTTCAGAAAAAGTTAGTGAGAACTTATGTCTTGCTGTCTCAAACAAGGTGTAGAATGCTTCTAATCCTCAAACAAAGTATAAGGTCTGCCAATGTCAACTAATGGAAAAAGTGTGAAACCTTATCTAAAAAGTAACTAAAGCAAAAAAGGTGGAGGTATGACACCAGAAACTGAATACTTGCCTACCAAATTCAAGGTCCTGAGTTTAAATCCTAGTACCACCATTTTTGTGTGTGAAAGAAATAGTCCTTTGAAATTACAGAAACACAATCCTACATTAATCTGTTAAAAAAAAAAAAAAACAGATTAGTCCTCCACACAGTAGGTCTTCTGTAATTATGTTGATTATGTTTATAAGAGGAAAAACTAATTAATAAGCTTTCTAAAGACAAATGCATGTAAAGGAAACAAGCTCATTTTTTTTTTCCTTTTTTTTTTTGGGGGGGGGGGGGGGGGGGTCCGGTCATAGGGCCTGAACTCTGGGACTGGGCGCTGTCCCTCAGCTCTTCAGCTCAAGGCTAGCACTCTACCACTTGAGCCACAGCACCACTTCCGGCTTTTTCTTTTTGCTTATGTGGTGCTGAGGAATCGAACCCAGGGCCTCAGGCATGCAAGGCAAGGGCTCTACCACTGAGCCACCTTCCCAGACCCAACAAGCGCATTCTTAAAGCATTCTCTAAAAGGTAGCTCCATAAACTGTTGCAGAAGTAAATACAGTACACATGTTAAAATCTTAATTCACCAGACCAAATTTACTCCCAATCAGATATGTCCATTTTTTTGTGTAAGGAAATAAGGATCTCACACAATACTGTAGCATGAATTGTTTCAGAAACAAAAGCCTTTACTACTCATTTTAAATAAATGTTCAAATTAACAAGCTTTCCATAGTTACATAGGAAAAGGTTCTATTGCCCCAAGAGATACAACAAAAAGAATCACTGAGAAAATATCTACAAATTACAGCTTCTATAAATTTTATCTTAAAGCCTGACATAACTAGTTTTAATCAAATCTAATTTTATTAATATGCATTTTCCATCTTAAAAATGCTGACACACATAAAACCATCTCCTAAGAATATCCTCATCAAGTTAGCAAAGAAGAAATTACACGGGGTTGTTTTAAATCTAATCTGGTTGGGTTCAAATCCAATCTTTGTTAATTAGTACCTTTACAAGCTTGGCAACTTTTGTTTAACTGTATCTTGCCTGCTTCCTTGCTTATAAAGCAACAATGCCACACTACAATGCCAGGACTTGATAACTAACTGAATACAATGAGAGGAGAGGAATTATAGACAATCAAGAGCCATCTATGCAGCATAAAGAAATGGAGAGAAAGGGTAATAAAGAGTTGGGGCAACCAAGAGAGGACAAGTTACATTTGGGCCAGGAGAGCCAGAGACACAAACAGACAATGGACAATCAGAAATGTGGGTTAAGACCCAAGACAGAAGATAATCCACAGAGATTACACTAGAAATTATTGGTATGGCTAACATCAACACTTATTTTCAATATATTTTATAAAATGTTTAGTTCAAGGAGCTGGGAAGGTGGCTCAGTGGTAGAGCACTTGCCTTGCATGCATGAGGCCCTGGGTTCGATTCCCCAGCACCACATAAGCAAAAAGAAAAAAAGCTGGAAGTGGCGCTGTGGCTCAAGTGGTAGAGCACTAGCCTTCAGCTGAAGAGCTGAGGGACAGCGCTCAGGCCCAGAGTTCAGGCCCCACAACTGGACCCCCCCCAAAAAAAATGTTTAGTTCAAAATACATCCAGATATAAAAACTTAAAAAGAAAATCACATTTATAAACCTTTTAACTCTCCTAACATTAGTGACAGAATACTACTTATCATATGTCTCTCATCTGTCTGAAAATTTAAAAGATGAAAGTAATAAACCATCTGAATTAGAGCCCAATGATGATGATTATGGGGATGATGATGATAAAATCCTATGTAACATTCTACATGTTAGAAATATTAACATTCTATATAATTCCCCTCTGATAATACCATAATTTTAAGGCAAAGATCACATCTTCAGGAAAATCAAAAAAATATGAGTTTCCAGCTTTACTTTTCATCTCAAATCTATCTGGTGAAACTCCTTTTGTGCCTTGGTTTTTAATCAATCTTGCAGTGACAAGAACATAAACACTATGAAATTGTGCCAGACTTTCCTAGCTTTGCTCTCTTTAGGCGATCTCACTAAATGATGCATGCACTTCCTTCTACATTTACTATTAACTTATTTCACTTTCAACTAAATTGGAATGGGTAGCTTCTCCTTGTCCACTGCTATAAATTTCTTCTAAGATCGAAACTATTCAACAACAACAGAAGCCATAAGAGATCTACAAATGGAGTACAAGAAAGATAAGTCATTCACCAAGTGAGCTGCCTGGAATACTTCTGGGCATTCCTTCTGGCTCTAAGCAGGCTCCCACGGGGCCTTGGCTGACCTTGCCTCCTAGAACATCACAAGTGTGCACAGGTGAAAGAGGACAGAACAGAGTGTACATTTAAGCTGCATCCTTCCTTCTCCCTTTCTCACCAACTTGTACTTTCTCATTCCTTTCATCATTCTCAATTCTTCCTTTTAGTTTGAATTGAAATCACTCAAAGCCAAACTTAGCTTTCATGAAAGAGTATGCCATTATTAAATTTGTTTTACTTAAACTTATTTCATGATCATTTTCCCCTTCCATGTTTCAACCCCAGTCTGTACACACTGCTAATTCCCCAAGAGCAAAACCTGTCTTAAAAGCATGGTAGATGGTCACCAAACATAAAGTGCTGCCTAGATTCTTTTATAACACATCCACGATAAGGAAAGCAATTCAGGAAGTCCAAATCTTGGTGAAAATCTGAATGACACAAAATCTCAGCTCAGCTCTGCCTAAGTAGTGCTCCTAACAATACCCTACCTTCCAGAACACCCACAAAAATTCTAATGCTTCAGTATGTGTAGCAAAACAAAGAAGACAATGAAGATTGAAAAGAACTTGAAATCTACATTTCTTCATTCTGATAGATCAATCTCCCTTTCCCACAACTACAGGAGTATTAAATAAAAAAATCCTTTCCTGTGAAGTTTTCATAGGAAACACCACCCTTTTACTAGGCCTAGTACCACGTTCACTGAAGAGCAATCCTCCAGGACTAAGTCTAAGGCTTTTGCACCATAAAAACTAATTTTGACTGTTTTTGAGAAATGGGAAGGGAGAGAAAAGAAATTAGAACATTGAACTATAGAGCCTACCTCTATCTTACACATATAAATTTGAACAGAGTAGAGGTTCATCTTTGTTTTTGGCATGAAACAACTACTCCCCAAGTTTGGACACAGAGGATGCATATTCAACTCTTAAGTGTTCAGATCTGCATGGTCCAAGACAGTGGTCACCTGCCACATTTGGCTACTGAGCAACTGGAATGGGACAAGTGAGAAAACAGCCAAATGCAAAAGAGGCTGGAAACATGGCTCAGGTGACAGAACACCTGCCTAGGAAGCACAGGCTGAGTTCAATCCCCAGTACTAAAAATAAATAAATAATAAAAAGATTAGGACAAAAAATAATATTGGTGATTTCTTAGTATTAGTTATGTGATGAATGACATTATTTGGATATATTAGAATAATTACAATTTATTGAAGTTTATATAAACTATTTCCCTTTGCTCTTCTAACTGTACCTACAGAGATTTTAAAATTCTCCTGTGGCTCACATCTGAACAGTGGTAATCCAGACTAACAATAAGAGAATGTATAATGCAAACACATGGAACAGTAACTAAAAAATTCAGCCAAAAGCAGGACCTGATTGTCAAGGCTTCCATTTGTATCTGAGTAGAATGAATAGATTTTCTACCACCACAATGAATGGGTGCTTCAAAAATTCCCAACAGGACTGGGAGAGCCACAGAATTACCTTTGATCTCTAGATTAGGAACAGAGGCTGAGAAAGGGGAAAACACTCATTTAAATTAGAGCTGGTAATGGGAAGGCCAAACTAGGCCAGAGTCAGATAAACTCTAAAAGCATGAATGAGTAAACTCTCCTTACTCTCCCTCCAGTCTCTCAGAGGAACTCTTTCCAGGTTCTAACAGGCTTATAGAAGAAGACCTTATTCTTTATAAACCCAACCTTCTGACCTATTTATCCTAGCCACTAAATCACAGCTGAGAGAAGAGGATGCAAGAGAGATAGAAATCTCAGAGCAATTATCAGAGGGACATCCCCAAAAGTTACCTACTTCAGGTATAAAGAATCAAATTTTTGCTTTAGCAATTCATGCTTCTCACCTCTGTCAGTATAAATCACAACAGGAATTTAGTAGGAAAGCACTGGTTATGAGCTCATTCATTGGAGCAAGTGGGTTTCAGCTGTTAGATATTAGCTTACTTAGTCTCTTAGCAGCCTCCAGTGCTTCATTTGCAGTGTTTGCTACAAAGAATCTTTGGACTCTCACTCCATGCTCAGACATCAGCTTCTTGCTCTGGTATTCCTGAAGGTTCAGCCATCTTCTGGAGGTTAGTTGAATTGCCTAGAAAGAGGCAGGAATACTTATTAATAACAATAAAAGTAACAATCAACCTATATGGCAATTCTTATACGTACAATCAATAGGCAGTAAAATAGGTTATATGCCAATGAATAGGTTACAGGCCAAAAGGATCTAGATAAATTCTTTAATCAAAAATATTAAAACAACCATGCATATGCAAAATAATGTAGTAAAAAAATAAAATGCTAGTAAAAATGGACTAAGTTCTATAGTACAGCTAATAGGAACACACTAATGCAAATGTCCTAGTTTTAATGCTAGAATTAGAACTATATACTCTATATCTAAGATGCAAAGTGGTACATGGGGCTGTTACAGATTTATTTCAGCTGTCTATGAATCTCCAATTCTATACCAGAAATTATTTTGAAAATCTTATTACACAGTCTATAACTGCCCAGACCCCAAATAGTTAAAGCATGCAACATTACTTTAATCTGTGTCCGTACTATTAATCACTGCAAAGTATCTCTAGAAAACCATAACTCTGAGTTCACTAGGCCTCAGCCTAATCCACTTCTTTACAATAGTTTAGTAGATATACTAAAGTCTAATGATATCTTCTCTTTATTACACCAAAGGTTACTAAAATGATCTGAAAGATTCTCTGGCAATTGGACTAATTCTTAAACTATAACTTGCATATTATAGTAGTCCAATTTAAGTAGAGGTGGATATTTTCCAATATGTACTATCAATCACTTTTTGGTTTCTCTTGAAAGAATAGCCAAAATGCAGGACTATATAAGAAAATAAATTGCTGTTTTTGTTTTATCTAATAATATTAATATTTCCTAATGAATCAACAAACTATTTTTAAAGAAAAATAACAGGAAAAAAGTGAATACACTAGCCCAGTGCCGGTGGCTCACGCCCGTAATCTTATCTACTCAGGAAGCTGAGATCTAAGGATCATGGTTCAAAGCCAGCCCAGGCAGGAAAGTCCATGAGACTCTTATCTCCAATAAACCACTAGAAAACTGGAAGTGGCACTGTGTCTCAAACGGAGAGCGCTAGCCTTGAGCTGGAGTGCAGGACAGCGCCTAAGCCCAGAATTTCAGCCCCATGACTGACCCCCCCCCCAAAAAAAAGTGACTACACTAAGTTACACTTGCTTCCATCCGTAAATCATGATGCAAAGGAATTTGCAAGAGATAGGGTATTGGTACCATTAATGCACACTAAAACTTCAGTCTATATAACTGGATTACAAGACTATGGATAATCACCTTGTACCCACCCAGCAGCTTCATCAATTGTCTGTATGTATTCAATGGCAGTACCAGGTATACCATACATAGTACTGAGACCTCAGCACTTCGGGACTTAAGCTTGCAGGACCTTCAACATGCAACTGGTTTTCAAATCTCCAAGTTACAATGCACTCATGAGCTCTTTTGAACAAGGGATGAAAGAAGCTACAGAAACACAACTAGACTGAGTAAATCTTTTCTGCATTTTTAAGGATACCTCATTTAGCATACAGAAAATATGTACTTATGAAAATTCAACTTTTATATGAACAGGCCTATAAATAGGTCTTCCATCCATCCACATACATATATATGGTAATACCATATATATGATAACATATATATGGTATATAACAGATATATATACTATATAAATATGTATATATATGGTAATGGTGTTTTTATATGGAAGTTGATTGCAAAGATTTTTTAGATATAATACTAGGCCAAAAGTAAAGTACAAGACAAGCAATGCTCACATTACCTACAGTATTATTATTCATTAATTGGGGGGTTAGTTAGTTTTTTTAAGTCTTAATGAAATATTAATAACTTGAAAAACAAAATGTAATAAAAGAACATTCATAGGCTTAATGATGTAAGCAGCATGCCAAACAACATTCCAGAAAAACAGAAGTTTACAGTGTTACTAAAAAACCCTCCAATGAAAGAAAATATGAAAGGTTCTATGCATGCTACTATGTAAGATCACCTTTAAAAGGCAAATGGGAAGATCAATACATCAAGTCGGTGTTGATGTACCAATTCAAAGCCATTACCAAAGAAAAAAATATAATTTGAAAAACACATCTGAGAGAGACGAAACACAGCCACCCGTGTGGTCATGGTCAATTCCTTCTCATTAGAGCACTCTCTGTATTAATTTTAGATATGTTAATGTAATCTGCTGCAAACTAATTGCAATTGATCCAGAGACCAGCTTCATAGACCTATAATACATATTGACTGTTTCTACATTTCTCAAATGAAAGTCAGCTTAGAGTCTGTTGCTCTTAAATTGAAAAGAAAGACAATGGAGCCTAGTTCTTAAAGCCAGTGGTGACATCCATCCAATCATCCCACAACATAATCTCCTCTCATAGAATCATCACCTGTTTGCACTCAATCTAAAACTTGGAAGAGAAGGGTCACTGACTAGGTCTAAACTTCACTAAGCCAATGCTACTTATTAAGAATTTGTGCTCAATTTTTACTATAGCCAAGATATGGAATCAAACCAGATGCCCCTCAGTAGACAAATGGATCAAGATAATGTGATCATATACATAATGGAATTCTATGCTTCCATCAGAAAGAATATTATACCATTCATAAGGAAATGGAAAGACTTGAAAAAAATTATATTAAATGAAGCAAGCCAGACCCAAAGAAATATAGGTTGCATAGATTCCCTCATTTGTGGTCATTAGAATGTGCTTATAAATCTACAAATACACACAATGGATGGTAAAAGACAAAAAAATTACACTTGGATATGATAAACAGGACTCTAAACATTCACACAGTAAGACCAAAGGAGAATATTCTTAGGGAGGATCACAAAGGCTCAATAGCTATACGCATGTGATCATATATAATGATGTTTATCAAATGAACACAAAGAAATGGAAACAAGTTTTTGTTATTTTGCTTTTCGTTTTTGTTTTGGTCATTATTTTCTTTGTTGCTGTTTTTTATTTCTGTGCCTTTTGTCTTGTATGTAAGTTTATCTGGGAGATAAAGCTGGCCTGGTTTACTCTCCTAGGGCTCAAAGAAGATACCTGCTGGTGTCAATTTATGTAGCCTCCCCAACTACTCACTGTTAACAGCTCTAACAACCTGTTAGTAAAATTTTCCCCTTATTAAAATCTACTAAATGGTCTGGTAGAAAGTAAATTCTCTTGATTGTACCCTAATACACACAGTGCTTTCCAGAGCCTAATGGGGTCAGAAGAAAACTGCCCAGTCCCCACTTTTACTAGGGAGACTTTTGGATACTGAACAGCGAAGTTTCCCAGCCAGGTATAAAAAGTGCACTGGATTCTAACCACCTCACCTTATAACCAGAAACCTTGTGAAAGAGAGGAAGTGACTTGCCCAGGATCATCTAAGCAGAAGACAGAAGCTGAAACTTGGAATGATTCCTATTTTCTGTCTTTCCTTCATATTGGCTTGGGATAGGTAGGCTAGACTTAGCTCCCTTTATACTTGCAGAGTTACCTGTTCCTTGTTCTCTCCCCTTCTGCCTCTCTTTGATAGAGAAAGCATTTCCTTAGATAGAGAACGGGGAAATACAATTTAAAAGCAGCACATGAGGATTTAAGAGCCTATGGGATCTCAGGACCAGAGGCAGAAGAAAAAGAATGAAAAATAAGGGGAATGACAAAGAACCAACAGATAAAAAAAGACAATGACTAAGCGCACAAACATTCACAAAGAAACTCAAAGCACAAAATTAGACCGCTACCCAGAAAAATATGACAAGATCTAGAAATTACTCTTCGCCCCATGGTTTTAAAATTAGCAGTGTAGAGATGACTGAAACAGCACCACCGAGAAGGAAGGGGGGGTAGGGAATCAATAAAGGCAGTATAGAAAATTGTATGCCATTGAGCCAGGTGCCCCACAGAGGGAAAATCTGTGAGCAGCATCTCCCCACCCACTCTGTACCTAGTGCCTTCAGCAGGCTTTGGCCTAGAAGTCCTGCCTGAAAGGCAGTTTTAGAAATAAGGAAATCAGAAATTCAACAAACAGAAGGGCCATTATGTCAAAAGGAATAAAAACACTATTGGATGGGGGAAATGGAATAATGTTACCATCGCTGCTGAAGTTATGGTGATGCATGCTGTTTCATACAATTGCCCAGCTTCAGAACATACTCACACAAATACCTTCAAGAATAAATTAACAGCTCAACGTGGTAGCTCATACCTAAAATCCCAGCACTAGGAAGACTAAAACAGTGAGATCATGAGTTAGAACCCAGACAAAAGCCTAATTTAGTAACTTTTATGAAAAGACTTAGAAAGTTCACTTCTCCATGTGTCTCCCTCACAAAACAAGTGCAAGTTTTGCGAAGAACCTTGTATAATGTTGTTAATGATGGGGCTGGGAAGGTGGCTCAGTGGTAGAGCACTTGCCTTGCATGCTCAAGGCCCTGGGTTCGATTCCTCAGCACCACATAAGAAAAAAGCTGGAAGTGGCGCTGTGGCTCAAGTGGTAGAGCACTAGCCTTGAGCTGAAGAGCTGAGGGACAACGCCCAGTCCCAGAGTTCAGGCCCCACGACTGGACCCCCCCCCCCCAAAAAAAAAGAAAAAAAATGTTCTTAATGACAAATCAGCAAAACTAGCAATGATCAAAATGTCCACTACATAGGACACTGTCTACATAAACCATAACATGTTCGAATTACAGATGGTCCCAGAATTACAATGATTCCACTAACTAAATTCTTAGCTTGAAGATGGTAATACAACAACAACAAAAAAACCACCTTTGTTTTTCATTGTAGTAGTCAACAAATCGTAAGTACTTTATTATAAAATAGGCTTTATGTTAAAAATAAATGAACTTGCACAACTGTAAGTTAACATGTTGAAATCTACATTTATGTATGTACACTGAGGTAGGATTTTTTATATTTTCATTTTATAGTAAATGTATTGGAATGTGATTCCATGGTAAGTCAAGAAGTATCTGTAAAGGAAGAATTTTTAAGATCCGTG